ACCTTCAGTGTTCAGCTTCTGTAGAGCTGTTTTAACTGTGGATTATCTGGGTAGAGAAACAGGTTCTGAACCCTGGCCTTAATAAACGCCAGATTTTACAAATATTCATAAGATACTTGATGAAATCCAGTTGAAAACAGACACATCTGTTACTTCAACATGCACTTTATGAACCGCTGCTCTACACATTTGCACATACGCACACGTACCTTTAATCTTTTCCTTCAACTTTGCACATATAACTACTTTTCTCTAAGATTATATTGGTGAATGGAGGAACAGCAGAGTAAGAATTTCACTGTACAGTGTAACTGCCTGATTCTGCTGTGCAGATCACAACAAAACTCTCGAATCTTGAGTTGAATCTGAGCCTTGAAAAGAAATCATTAATAATTAAAGGGCTCTGATACAAGATTCCTTTTTTACCAGTTTAGTTTTTTTCTTGGCCAAATAAAAAACTATTCTGAAGGAAAAGGTTCACGTCCTCTTATGGTCTTTGGTTCTACATCACTGTCTAACTAATACACAGATTTGTAGGCTCCATTACTGCACCACTGTATAACACACAGTTAAAAGTGCTGTGCGGTTTTTACCTGAACCAACTGAGTAACAAGTCTTAAGTGAACAGAGTCCATTAAAGCCTGTAGTCCACCTGTTGGGGAATGATGATGTATATTGGGTTGGTCTCCCAGACAGAGATTAAGTATTGTCTTAGACTAAAAAGTAGTCCAGGACTAGATTTAATCCTTGTCTGGGAAACTGAGTGTTAATGCATATATTTCTAGGATGCTCATTTTGTTTATAAAACCAGTTTTAGGTGATGATGAGGCACAAAGCCCACCAAGGAAAGACAGAGCACCAAAGCGGCAAAGACGGGAGGAAACAGATGGTGATGAACAAACAGAAATGGATGGTGAGTCTTCGTCCCTTAATAACTTGGTCCAAGGCCTTGTTCAGACCTGGCATTAACATGCGTCCTGGGTGATCTGATCATCAGTGGTCAGCACTAAGTACAAGTGTGAAAAGGGTACAGTGTGTCTGGAAGACGCTGTAATCCGATTGGTCAAACCACATTCGGAGGTGGTCAGAGACGTGCATGACTGCATTACATTTGTAGTGTGAACACGAAAGCATCTTCATGCATCCCTGACTGCAGTGAAGTAACACATGTATAGCCACGTCATGGCCTGCTGGAAGATACGCACTAACTGTGAGACTGGGGGGCGCTAGGGAGCAAGAAGCCTCATCTTCATTTGGGCTGAGGACGTATGATGTAAGAAACCCCAAGTGGTCGTGGGAGAATGTGATTGGCAGTATCGTGATCTCATCACCAGAGACACCTTCAGTTATGAACTTCTGTAAAATGTGTTTGAAAAGCTGTCGTACAAAAATAAAATGATGTTTTGTTTTCTTTCACAGAGGAGGATGGTGATTATGTCCCCCCTACCATTTGTAAGAAGAAGGTGAAGAAGAAGCTGCTGACGGAACAGCCCAGCGAGTTTAACATGTATATTCTAAAGCACTGCCCTGCACTTTTCACCAGTCTTATTCACAAGGAGCCAGTCTGACTGCAGGTTTTCATTGCCTTTAAGGAGAAGCACAGCTGAATCCACATGTTTCATCATTTGGTCTCATTCTTTAAAGAATTTGTTAGCAGTATGACGTCTGATCCTGGTTGCTTGGACGGAAAACAGGTAGTCACCCTGGCTCTTCATGGAGAAGACTGGTGATCTGTTTAGGTGGAAGATCGTGGTGAGTTTTATTGTGCATATACTGAAATGGTATGAATGTCCTCTTAAACATAACGGGCCACATTCATAAAACTTGGTACGCACAATCAGGATAAGCTGGTGGCTGCAAGTCCCACATCACTGGATAGTCACCATGATATTCACAGTTTTGTTCTCTATTACTAGATAAATTACACTACAGTGGCCAAATTAAAGATGAAAAAGTTGTTTGGCTCATCAGTTTATAGTTACTCAGATGAGTGGATTTGTGGGATTTGTTGCTGTTTATTAGGTACACTTGTCCTGTATATAAACTTATTGGCTACTTTATTAGAAACCCCTGTCTTACAGCTCACTATACACAGTCTTATCAGAATATTATGACCACCTCTTGTTTCTACACTCTCTGTCCATCATATCAGCTCTGTTTACCACACAGTTTCACTCTGTAGTTCTACAGTTACAGACTGTAGTCCATCTGTTTCTCTGCATACTTTGTTACCCTGTTCTTCAGTGGTCAGGACCCCCATGGACCCCCACAGAGCAGGTACTATTTGGGTGGTGGGTCATTCTCAGCACTGCAGTCACACTGACATGGTGGTGGAGTGTTAGTGTGTCAGCGTCACTGCAGTGCTGAGAATGATCCACCACCTAAATAACTATATGGTAAACAGAGCTGATGTAATGGACAGAGAGTGGGTGATACGAGTTCTGATCCCATGACTTTTGGCATGTCAGTGTCGTCCACCTGTTGCTGCACAGTTTATCAGCCACCCCATACCCCATTCATCATCGGTCAGTTTCTGACCACAGGCCCGCTGTTGTCCAGATATTATTTGGGTGGCGGACTGTTCGCACATCGCAACTGTTACATTTTACCTTCACTTCTCTGCTGCTTTCAGACCCACTCAACACAGGAGGCGAGCGTGGAGCGAAGACGAAAGAGCTGCTGCACTCAGACATTTGGGAGTTTTCCTTGAACGTTACGAGGTTCCAGGAAAAAAGGACTGAATTTCATGTATCGAGAACGAGAACGACTTAAGATCTCCAACATGGAGGGATGTTAAATACTTCATCCACAACAGAACTGTCAGTCTCACAAAACAAAATCACTGAGTCAAATTCATGTTGGTGATGGAACTGTGACTTTCATGTTGGCTATAATAGTTACTATCTTGGTCATAATTCATGTTGATTATGAACAGTTATGTTTATGCAACAGTCACTCTTAAAAACTGAGAAGTAAAATTCTTAAAGTTTTCCAAGTTCCACTGCATCATTATTCACTTATTGATCACCAATGGCTACCAGATCAGATAAACTCATGGACCATAGATAGTAAGGGGAAATTCATTCATCTCTTCAGCCAATGACGACTCCAAGACATACTAGTTTCTGGTTCAAAAATAATCTGCATTGTTTCTTCTGTTTCTGCAGTTTCATCTGATTTATTCAATCAAATAATTCACCCCTTAACACCCCAGGCTCATTACATACTACAGCTGATTATTCAGGAACTACAGGGACTTCAGTGCAAACTAACTGAGCTATTCTTTTAGGTTATAGAAGCGTGTAATAAAACTGTGCGCCCTCCGGAGGACCCTGGGGTTAACAGACCAAACTGAAGTGGCCATATTAGAGGAAGAATGTCTTCTAAATGACAACATAACCTGAACTATCAGGAAGTGACACATCCAAATTTTCTCAGGCTGCTGAATGTTTGACAAACCAGTGAAGGATGATGAACATCCTAACTGGTAGAGGGAGTTGAATGTAATGCTCACTTTGGTATTTGGTAACAATGACATTGGTGCTTTTGGGAAACCCAGCCCTGCTGGATTAAACTCTGGCTGTGCTGATGGGTGAAGGTCCTGTCTTATATGTAAACAACACTTCAAATACATGACCAGAATCGCGGCCTTGGTAAGCTGCCCCTCGCTTTATTCCTAGCTAATACAATACAAGAGCGTGAACAACTGAGTATCTCTCAGGAACATGTTGCACCCCATGATATTACATTAGCCAGTGTTCGCTAACTTTAACTAATGTCTATTAGTTTTTCTAATAATCAGCAACATCAGGTGTCTGTTAAATACATACATAATACATATATACATAACGCTAACCACCTCAGCAGAGAAGTGATCTGTACAATACGTACAAATTATATATATATATATATATATATATATAAACGTTTTAGATCATTTAGAACATTTTAGATCTGACTTGAGCTGAATTACTGTTGGAGTTTAACTTGCAGTCCCTTTTTTAAACAACAAAACGTTAATGAACAGCATAATTAACAGCGGCTCTTTTTAACTAAAGACTCACTAATCACTAAAACAGAGTTTGACTCGGTACAGTGTGGATATACTGGATGGAAACGACTCGATTGAATCAACAGGGTCGATTCAATTCTCTGAGACTCACCAATGACAGAGAGTCTCAGACAATGGAATCGATTTTGTTTATTCAATTGAGTCATCTTCAGGAGTCCATTATATTCAGCTATTCGCTAGTGATGGAAAGGAGTCGACTCGAAGGGTTCAAGAATCGATTCTTAGATTCAGACCATCAAGTCGTGCATAAACAGGCTCGTTCTCCTGGTCAAAACTCGCTAAACTACCTGCTTTAATGTAATTCAGCGCTTTGGTTCAGTAAATCGCCACTTTTACAGCTTATTTGTCCTCATTTGGTCAGATTTGTTCAGCGTTGGGTTTATTCGGGCAGCAGAGCGGACTCCTTACTCGTCCGTACGGAGCGGTCTAGAACCTGATTGGCTAGAGCCTCTGTTGCTCAGCCACTATTGGTCAGGCGGCCTTGTAGGCGGGCTCCTTCCATACAGCAGGCTCTGGCGGTGCTGGCGGCTCAGAGCGCTCGCTATGCTAATCGCTAAAGCTCACAAAAGTCCTGCAGAATCCGGGAAATGTTTAATAATCTCTCTTTGCCGTGACTTTTATTATGTACTCTGGAACATATGGCCGTTAGAGTTGTTTCCCGAGCACAGTCTGATGTGAACAGTGTATCTGCAGTAGTTGGAGGCGCTGGGCGTTTAAGAGTGAAACTCCATTCAGATGGTGTTGTTTCTGCCCAGCGGCCGAGCGGCTCCTCGGTTCAGCGGCCGAGCGGCTCCTCGGTTCAGCGGTAGAACACTTTTTACTGAATTCTACTATTCATTCAGTTTCTAGTGACCCCTCGCATGTGGGCGACATCTAGTGGCTCAACACTCAAACGGCTTGTCTGTAGATGCAGCAGAAACCATGGTCTTCAGTTTCCCTGGGCTTTTACCCGGTCCTCACTTTGGGACAATTACAAGAATGTGTGTGTGTGTAGGACTGTGTGTGTGAGTGTGTAGGAGTGTGTGTATGTTTATGAGTGACAGTGTGTGTGTGTGTGTGTGTATATATATATATATATATATACATATATATATATATATATATATATATATATCTTACATTTCTTCACTCCCGGTTTCATCCTGATCTTCCCTCCATGATTCACCCTGAAGAACAAACACACACACACACACACACACACAGAGCACAAAAGCTTGTCAGAGTGTCTGCTGTAAATCGTCAGCACTGAAAACACTTCACTGCTGCATGTCTGATTATAAAGAGCAGAATTAGTGCTGTTTAATTAGAAATAAAAATAAATAAATAAATATTGTGGTGGATTATTTATCATCAACACTGAACACCAGTAAACAGCCTAAATGAGTTAGTGTAAAAGAATCTGTGTTCATGGATACAGTATTAATAAACTCTCTGTGTCCAATAAAGAAGAACTTTACTGCACCTCAGCATATTTTATTACACAACAAATTAAAAAATATATAAACACAAAGTATAAATCAGTCCTTAAACAGATAGTTCCAGTCCTAAAATCTGATTGGCTGGGCCGTGTTTGAAGTCATTGTAAAATATTTGATATTTGCCCACCGATAGCCCCTCACAACAGCTGAACTCTGTATCACTGCACCACGGCACGAGTAACTCTTGTGTTCCCAATGGATTAATCTTTGACTGTAATGCTGTTCGCATGGAGCACCGAGTGCACTGACGAAGTAAGAACCCGGTTCTGTTTAAACTGAGGGGCTGACGGCTTATTTTCTCATCTAGAACTAACAGGCTAAAAGATAGCAGACCTGCTAAACAACTCCATCATTAATATCACAGTCTTGAATTAAAGAACTTACGATATGATTTACTGTAAAACTGCAGTATAAAAGACTAAAGAATGACCTAAAGGCTTCAAATGTCCGTGTTTCAGTCAGAAGTCACGTTACACTGAGGCTGAATCCCAAACGGCTCTGTACTCCCTAAATAGTGTTCTAGGGAAATTTAGAAATTCTAGCTTCTGCAGCCAAACAGTGACTGTGTGTCGAGTGTGGATGGGACTGAATTCCAAATGACTGTTTATTAGCTGTATTACGCACTGTTGGAGTTCAGGATCCAGTGTTTAAACTCCTACGTAGTGCACTATGTAGGGAGCAGGGAGCTGTTTGAGATTCAGCCCCAGTGTGAGAAGAGGGCCCCACTGGATTGGTGCTAAATAAGACTCACTAACTGGTAATTTGGGGACCAAAAAGGACTTAAAAAGTGAAAGTTTCTGCATTAAACAGTGCTGCATTATCATATGTTCATTATTATACAACAAAAAATGACCTCAATATACAGCGATGGATGACTGAACAGTCTCATGCAGTGGTCCATGGTTGCTTGGCAACTATACCATAATCATTTCTACCATAAACATTTCTTGACAGAATACTTGTTTTTGTCCATTATTATTAATGATGTCTGTACTGTGTTTGTTCCTACTGTCAATTAAACAGTCTTTATTATCGTTATTATTATTATTATTATTATTATTATTATTATTGTTATTATTATTAGGCCAATAAAATGATCTGATAATAACAACAACAATAATAATGATAATAATAATAATAAAGAATAAAAATAATTCACCACCTCACTATGAAGACAAACATATCTACAGTAAAACTGTAGAGTCGGTAACGTGGATAATGTGTATAATTACAGTCAGTTTTATGTATAATACGTATAAATCGTCAATATTGTGTATAATATGTATAAATACAGTCAATAATATGTATAATATGTATAAATACAGTCAATAATGTGTGTAATATATATATAAATACAGTCAATAATATGTATAATATGTATAAATGCAGTCAGTAATGTGATTATTATTATTATTTTTATTATTATTATTATTAGGCCAATACAATTATCTGTTAACAACAAACCAAAACAACAGCAGCAGCAACAATAATAACAACAACAATAATAATATTAATAATAATAATAATATTTTCCCCACACTTGAGAATGACAGTAATTCACCACCTCACTATGAAGACAAACACATCTACAGTAAAACATTACAGTCAGTAATGTGGATAATATGTATGATGACGGTCAGTAATGAGTATAATGTATACAGTTACAGTCAGTGATGTGTTTTATATGTATAATACGTTTTTTCACAAACACTGTATCACTCCGCTGAGATGCTGTTGCTAAGCAACGACTTTGACAGCTGTAGGAGACGCTCAAGCCATTTGAACGTTTTTACTTCTTACTTTGCCACAAACAGAAAATGGATACTTTTAAAATCACATTTGACCGACAGACGATTTGGTCAGACTCTGAAGATGAGACGACACTAAATTCCCAAACTGTCATCACCACTGAGCAGCTTTTCAGTCGGCAGCTGTGACAGAAGAATAGCTAAACAACCTGGAATCAGCCAGAAATGAACCCAATACCATTCGCCAAACTAAATGGGCTGTAAGATGCTTTACAGACTGGCTGGAACAAAACAACATTAATACTGATCTGGCAAAAATTAACAAAACTGAGCTAAACTTGATATTGGGTCAATTTTATGGCTCAGTCTGATTTGGTCAGACTCTGAAGATCAGACTACACGTTTGGCGAATGGTGTTGGGTTCATTTCTGGCTGATTCCAGGTTGTTTAGCTGTTCTTCTGTCACAGCTGCCGACTGAAAAGCTGCTCAGTGGTGATGACAGTTTGGGAATTTAGTGTAAGGAGCTGGAGAACGAACTGCCGGCTGTGCAGCGAGTGGGCGGAGCTCGTTACTCTGACGTAGCAACAAGCTGCTCGTTAAGGAACTATAATTTGGTGAAGGAACTGCGAACATTAAAACATATTAAACGCCGCGTTCACGGCCCAGTTTATTAATTTATTACTTTATTTATTTAACTGTTGTATTAAAGCAATAGAACACTCGAGGAGTGTGTTATCGCCAATAACATCACGGCTGTGATGGATCAACATCCCAAAAAAGTTGGACAAGTAGCAATAATTGGCTGGAAAAAGAAATTGAGCATATAACGAACAGCTGGACAGACCAATAACACTATTAGGTCAATTGACAACATGATTGGGTATAAAAAGAGCTCTCAGAGTGTCAGTGTCTCTCAGAAGCCAAGATGGTAAGAGGATCACCAATTCCACCATTGTTGCGCAGAAAGATGCAGCAATACCAGAATGGTGTTACCCGGCGTAAAATAGCAGAGACTTTTAAGTTATCATCATCAACCGTGCATAACATCATCAAAAGATGCAAAGAATCTGGAACAATCGCTGTGCGTAAGGGTCAAGGCCGTAAAACTCTACTGGATGCTCGTGATCTCCGGGCCCTTAAACGTCACTGCACCTCAAACAGGAATGCCACTGTCAAGGAAATAACAGAATGGGCTCAGGAATACTTCCAGAAAGCATTGTCAGTGAACACAATCCACCGTGCCATCCGCCGTTGCCAGCTGAAACTCTACAGTGCAAAGAGGAAGCCATTTCTAAGCAAGCTCCACAAGCTCAGACGTTTGCACTGGGCCAGGGGTCTTTTAAAATGGAGTGTGGCAAAATGGAAGACTGTTCTGTGGTCAGATGAGTCACGATTTGAAGTTCTTTATGGAACACTGGGACGCCATGTCATCCGGACCAGAGAGGACAAGGATAACCCAAGTTGTTATCAACGCTCCGTTCAGAAGCCTGCATCACTGATGGTATGGGGTTGCATGAGTGCTTGTGGCACGGGCAGCTTGCATGTCTGGAAAGGCACCATTAATGCAGAGAACTATGTTCAGGTTCTAGAACAACATATGCTCCCATCTAGACGTCGTCTCTTTCAGGGAAGACCCTGCATTTTTCAACAAGATAATGCCAGACCACATTCTGCAGCAATCACAACATCATGGCTACGTAGGAGAAGGATCCGGGTACTGAAATGGCCAGCCTGCAGTCCAGATCTTTCACCTATAGAGAACATTTGGCGCATCATAAAGAGGAAGGTGCGACAAAGAAGGCCCAAGACGATTGAACAGTTAGAGGCCTGTATTAGACATGAATGGGAGAGCATTCCTATTTCTAAACTTGAGAAACTGGTCTCCTCTGTCCCCAGACGTCTGTTGAGTGTTGTAAGAAGAAGGGGGGATGCCACACAGTGGTAAAAATGGCCTTGTCCCAACTTTTTTGGGATTTGTTGACGCCATGAAATTTTGAAACAACATATTTTTCCCTTAAAATGATACATTCTCTCAGTTTAAACTTTTGATCTGTGATTTGTGTTCTATTCTGAATAAAATATTAGATGTTGGCACCTCCACATCACTGCATTCAGTTTTTATTCACAATTTGTTTAGTGTCCCAACTTTTTTGGAATCCGGTTTGTATAATTTGGTGAAGGAACTGCGAACATTAAAACATATTAAACGCCGCGTTCACGGCCCAGTTTATTAATTTATTACTGTATTTATTTAACTGTTGTACAGAGCAATAGAACACTCGAGGAGTGTGTTATCGCCAATAACATCACGGCTGTGATGATCTACGGTGACCAAATCACAGCCGTGATGTTATTTCGCAATAACACACTCCCTCTGTGTTCTACTGCATAAGCATAATGTGTAGAATTACAGTTAGTAATGTATGTAATATATATATAATTACAGTTAGTAATGTGTATAATATGAATGATTACAGTTAGTAATGTGTATAATATGTATGATTACAGTTAGTAATGTGTATAATACGTATAATTACAGTTAGTAATGTGTATGATATGTATGATTACAGTTAGTAATGTGTATGATATGTATGATTACAGTTAGTAATGTATGTAATATATATAATTACAGTTAGTAATGTGTATAATATGAATGATTACAGTTAGTAATGTGTATAATATGTATGATTACAGTTAGTAATGTGTATGATATGTATGATTACAGTTAGTAATGTATGTAATATATATATAATTACAGTTAGTAATGTGTATAATATGAATGATTACAGTTAGTAATGTGTATAATATGTATGATTACAGTTAGTAATGTGTATAATACGTATAATTACAGTTAGTAATGTGTATGATATGTATAATTACAGTTAGTAATGTGTATGATATGTATGATTACAGTTAGTAATGTGTATAATATGAATGATTACAGTTAGTAATGTGTATGATATGTATAATTACAGTTAGTAATGTGTATAATATGAATGATTACAGTTAGTAATGTGTATAATATGTATGATTACACTTAGTAATGTGTATATGTATAATTACAGTTAGTAATGTGTATAATATGCATAAATACAGTTAGTAATGTGTATGATATGTATGATTACAGTCAATCTGTGTATAATGTGTATAATTACAGTCAATCTGTGTATAATGTGTATAATTACAGTCAGTCTGTGTACAGAGACAGTAAGTCAGTAACTCACTGTAGTTTCTCCAGGGCGCAGTGTGGATCCTCCAGTAGATCAGAGAGCAGCTTCACTCCAGACTCTCCTGGGTGATTATAGCTCAGATCCAGTTCTCTCAGGTGGGAGGGGTTTGATTTCAGAGCTGAAGCCAGAGAAGAACAGCCTTCATCTGTCACCATACAACCAGACAATCTGCAGGAAAGAAAGAAAAAAAGGAACAATTTACATACAGCAACCAGCTGCAGTACAAACACAGCAAGCACATAATTCTGTGAAATATATATTCAGATATCATGGAAAACAAAAAATACAATAACATTCACATGGCCTGTCAGGACAATTTGGACTATTACTTTAATTAATTAATTAAATAAATACACCTGAACTCATTATACAACTCCTCAAACAATCATTAACCACTAACACAGAATTTGTAAATTCAAAATATGGCAGTATATATAATTCTGAGTTGGAACTTATCTGAGATGAAATACAAAAAAAGCCAGAATTTCTAAAGCTTTGTATCTCATAGTGACTGAATTCAATTGTTTCATATATCAAAATCCTTAATTATGTCTGGGAGATTAATCTTTCATTTCAGTATGAAATACAGAAAAATATAAGAACTGAAGTCCAAATGAGAAATATAGGTGCATTTATTCACTGTAAAGCATATGAGAACAGTTATGTTGAGGACAGGAATATATATATTTTGGTTATTTGTATGAAGACATTGTACTAATGATTTGATTAAATAAAGCAAACATTTCAGCTGCATAACAAAGACTTTTTAAAATACACTGAAATGAATTTTGTTGTTTTACAGCATTCTTTGTATGCTCAACAGTGCTCTAGAGTAAACTACTGTAGATTTTAAATGTATTCTGGGAAATATCTCACAGCATTAATACTTTACTGCAGATCCAAACACAGTATTAATACTTTTCTGCACATCTGAGTACAGTCATATAAGAAAAAAAGTTGAGTTAAGGCTAAGTTAAAGGCGTTTTGCCTCCTGACTGTATGCTCACTCAGTAACGTCTGTAAACAGGACATCACTTTTGTGATTTTCTGTCGTAGATTACAGAAGTGTGTTTACAATAGCAAAAGAACAAATTCAACATTTTTTAACATTTACCTTGTATTAAAATGTTTAAACTAATGTTCCTTACAGCATTTAAGGCCATTAGAGAATAACGTTTTAAATCTGTCTCCATCGGAAAAATGTCACAATCACTGTCACATCCTGGTTCATTTGCAGAAAACAGGCCACAACATTGCTGTTCATCAGTTTTGTACAATTGTAACCAGAGACAACAAGTTAGAAGTCAATCTAAAACAATTCTGAACTGATTTGAAATAATCTACAAGCATTTTTATATTATAATTTATTCTAATTATTATTTTTATACAATTATTTTTATTTCTTTTTTATTATATTTAAGCATTACGTTTTGGCTTAATGTTAAACGTCTTCGCCTTTTGTATTCTGTTTTGTCTTTTTGGCCCCTGGCCCACCACAGACATTGTACTCCAATACAAAAAGTTTGTGCACCCCTAAACTAGATGAAGTCATGGTGAGGGTCTTGTCCCTTATTGATTTTACATTACAGATTTTTGCAGCATCTCAAGGTACTTGATTTAAAACACAACTGATTGTAAACGAATGTATTGGTGTTGGTATTTTTGTTTAAAAGTGCAGCTTTGCTCTTTTATATTATATTAGGACGCTGCTGCTTCAGTGATTCTCAGCAAAATTAAACTGCATTTTAAGAGTTTTCAGCTTTGTCTAGATTTAAAACACAGCATAGTTCATTCAGTAGAGCAGAGCTGTGTGAAGTGGGTGAAGCAGCAACTGACAGGAATTTTAGACCAATTAGAACACGGCATGCATGGTGCAGGATCTGTCTGACTCCGCCCCCTGGATGCTCTCTGTAGTGCGAGTGGTCTCCAGTGTTCGATACGTCTGTTTAAAGTCAAACATGACCGTTACGAGCTGTTTACAGTAGCTAGCTCACTCACCGCGTTAACGCCAGCTGTTTTATCGTGTTTATTCACTGATAAAACCTCATCCAGACAGTCGCTTACAGTCTTTACAGAGACGTTACAGACCTGGTGACATTTTACAGATCAGAAAATTATAGCACTACTGCATGAAGTGGAATGGTGACCTTGGTTACTTCAGTGGTCAAACTCCACTTGTAAAAGGTGAGTAATGATGAAATGAGATAAACAACCTCACTAACAGATACTTGGGCTCTTCTTTCTGTATCTCTGTGTCTGTCACTGATGTTAGCTAGGTGAGGCTAGCTTAAGCAGTTAACCTAGCTAAACTCGCTTGTCTGTTCAGGCCTTGGGCTGCAATCAGATTAGGATTAGCATCTCCTCCCAGCGGCTCTCTGTACTGACTGACCGCTCAGCTTCACCACTGTCTACAGCTCTAATGTCTACAGTCTCATCTCAGCAGTTCAGGGAGCAGCTGAAGAGCTGTAAATACTGACTGACCGCTCAGCTTCACCACTGTCTACAGCTCTAATGTCTACAGTCTCATCTCAGCAGTTCAGAGAGCAGCTGAAGCTAATAAATGTTGGGAGTACTGACAGATGAGATGCTGTGTTTTTGTGCAGCAGAATCTTAGTCAGTTGTTTTGGTAGGTGAACAAATAAACCATCATAATGTAAGACTAACTTTCACTTATTGCCCAAAAATGTATCTAATCTTCCTAATTAAAATGTCAGTGGTCTGTTTATTCACTACAAGTGATGGTTTGGTCATTGTGGTAAAAGGAAAAGGGCACCAATATTTAAGGCTACAGCTTTGATGTATTAGTACAGTTCACTGATAATAAACTCCTGAATTTAATTAAATGTTTTAAATGTGTTTTACTCTCTGAATGTTTTGTCACGGTTCCTCGTTGTTCCT